TCCAGACACCATCCACCTTCGAGTCCTTGAGTCCTCGCCAGTTGGCACAGCCATTGGAAGTGTAAAAGCAACTGATGCAGACACTGGGAAAAATGCAGAAGTAGAATACCGAATTATTGATGGTGACGGGACTGATATGTTTGACATCATAACTGAGAAGGACACACAGGAAGGCATTATAACAGTGAAAAAGGTGCCCATAATCAGTATAAATAAGCATCTTCCCATTTAGCAAATAAGGCTTTCGTTATGTGCCATCCACTCATGCGTTGTCCATGAAGAGATGCCACTATCATGGCCAAATGTAATTTATATCAAGCACAAACATGAGAGACAAGAGCCAAAGATCTCCTTGGGCGTTTTGACCAAATGCTCTTGTTGACTGAAACATGAAACCTGAGTTTTTACAAACTTTAAAAGGCAAATTAATATATGTATGACTGTATTTTTGAGCCATGTTAATAAAAGCCCCCCCCCCCATAATAACATTGTTTTCTTTTAGTAAAAGCAGTTAATAGCTAATAATGGCAACATATCATCACAGTTGGAGGCATAGAAAGTAGCATGCCGTCTATCCAGATGTATGAAGCAATAATTAGAGCTGCTAATAAAAAAGACACAGCATATTTTCAAAGATAATTTAATTGTTCACATTTTCCCTTCTGCTACATAAATTAAACTTTTCTGCTAACATATGCTCAGTGATTCAGTTTAAAGGTAACTAGGTTTTTCATTGTAGCATCAGTATGATCATTTTAAGAAAAAAATTAAGGCCCCGTGACAGATCCCAATGAAATGTCCTGAAAACTCTATTTCATTAAGTAACCACTGAAGAACTGAGGAATCAAAACTATCCAGAGATTCTGTTGCAAAGGCCAAGGTACACAACGAAATGGTTTTAAATGGACAGTGACCAGGAAAGGAGGAAGCAGCTTCTTTGTTGTTTTTCATGACTGGCAAGTAATAATAATGCAAATAGAATTTACTGCTTATCAGATAAAAAGAGGAAGGTTGAAGGAATCTCAAACCACAATGTCTTTTTTCTGTTTACAAAACATACCTTTTGGAGGGGTAAGAAGGGAGGAGCTTGATTTCACACTCGTTACAGTTAAACTACATCAATATTTAAGTCAGTTTTTTTTGTTTATTCATAATATAACCTAATTACTAATTTGCTATCAGAATTTTTCTCTCTTCTCTTTACTCCAGGTTTTCCTGATCTTCAATGTTTCATACAACTATTGAAAATTTTGTATTAGTCTTCAAAATTACATAAAGTTTATTGTAGTATCATGAGCCCATTAAACTGAATGGAAATATCACGATATACATGTAAAAAGATAACTAAATATTTTGCTTGCAGACATTTAACAGTAATGCACACACATGAACACATGAACACAGACACAATCTACCAGCCATTAAAAATTTTTTTTTAATGTTTATTTATTTTTGAGAGAGACAGAGACAGAGCTTGAGTGGGGGAGGGGCAGAGAGAGGGAGACACAGAATCTGAAGCAGGCTCTAGGCTCTGAGCTGTCAGTACAGAGCCTGAGGCAGGGCTCGAACTCACGGACTGTGAGATCATGACCTGAGCTGAAGTTGCACGCCCAGCGGACTGAGCCACTGGGCGCCCCTC